TCCTCCCGATCCACTAACGGTGCTTTTAGGTACTTCAAGCACCGGTCACCGTTCTCGTCGAACCCGTCGCTTNCGATCCACTAACGGTGCTTTTAGGTACTTCAAGCACCGGTCACCGTTCTCGTCGAACCCGTCGCTTGCGACGAAGGGCTCGACGAGTAAACTAACTCTCAGACACAGCCCACTGAGTTTCTCGCCGGATCTTCTCAGTGGGTCGCGTTTCCGATCCGGTGGTAGATTCTGCGAAGCACGACTCTTGCTAGGGTTCGTGTTAGCAACGTCATCAGGTTTGAGCCCCGTGAGCTCACCTACTAAAGTTAGGGTTACGCTGACATAGCCTCTCAAGGCTATCAGCTTAGGTAGGAAAAAAAAAAAAAAGAGACCTTAGAACTTATATCTCAAGGTGGGTGGCGCGTTTACGTTGTGGATGTCTATGGGCTCCAGTAACCACTTAACACCAGGTGGGCTGTGAGCTCGTCAACCCATCTAAGCAATAAAAAAAAAGTAATTTTCAAAATAACATTATTAATATCACTCCTATCATTGATAATTCCCCGTCTAGGGTTAAGTGGATTAATGAGCAAAAACATACCAGTTACGCATAAGGAATTGCGGTGTAAAAAAAAACGTAATTTATAGTTTAATTATGTAAATAAAAAGTGCAATGTACAGCAAGAGCAGTGTTGGGAAGCCATAGAATACTTTACTTTAATACGGACATTATTGTCTGTTCTTTTCTACTTTGTATTTTAAATTCAATTAATGAAGAGGACGGGAGATTTCCATTAGTTCCATCAACAAAAGAACTTTTGAAATTTAAGTGTACAAATCTTTACAATGAAAAACATGTGGTTAGAGACGATAATATATAGTAATTAGGTGCTCGATATAAAGTTAATTTAAAAGGCTTCGTTCGACTTCAGTAGTCCGGTCGTTGAGTTTCTCGCCAACTTCTCACTTCTACTGATATCGATCCGGTGATAGATTCTGTGAAGCACTGCTCTTGCTAGGGTTCGTGTTAGCAAATCCTCCCAAGTTGAGTCCCTTAGGCTACCAACGATTTGGTTGAGAAAAAAGTAGCAAGGGTTTTAAATTTCTTGCTTCATAATATTCCAAATTTTTTTAACTTGTATTTGCTTAAAGATATTTACTGTCGATAATTCTATCAGCAGCTAATTCAAAATAGCCTACATTATCAAATGAGAGTCAGAAAGCTAGCCTTTTGGTACGCTAGCTCGAGCCGCTTACGTATTTACATTTAAACGTTTCTAATAATTATCGGAGGGCACGTAATAATTTGTTGTACCTTCGGGGCTTGTAAATGATTATTTATTTGTTGTTGTGCCGCCAACACGCCGATATAAAGCCTCACTCACAGCTTGTGCGTCAGGGATGGTAAAACAATGGGAAAGAGTAAAAGCGTGCATCACCTTGAAAATTACTTTTTCGGCAGGAATTCGATCAATAAAGCTTTGGAAATAAATATTTTAAGCCCGATTAGAATCGCGCTTCCAGTCAGCCGAAAAACAATGCAATTTCGAACTTTTGTATCAGATATTAAGGTTACGGTTACATTTCATTGAAAAGAAGAAAAAAATAGGCTCGTGAATTGGAAAGTTTGACACCCCTACAGTATCTAGTTAGAATTCTAGGCAATTATTTGAACACGTTAATGCGATGAAATTGTATAATGCTATATACAAAGTACACCGTAGGATGTCGCTAAGATATAACAGTATAATAAGGTGTGGGTTTATTTTATTAGTGTTTACTTGCTTGCGTATATTATTTATGTACAGTAATTGTAGGCAAGCCAGTTCAGCAATCGGCTGCACCCGCTGATCATTACATCACATGATTTATTCTAAAAAATAAATAATTATATACCATGTCCAATTTATTTTAGATTCGTTTTATATCTAATGGTTTTTTGATCAACTCCACGCCTGTAATAAGGAATATTAATATTTGAATTTTAATACCTGGACTCATGAGTCGGATACCCATTCTTTTTGCCACTGTAACGAGCGCAAGGTCTAGTTGAGGTCTGGCTACCCTCGCTCGTGAGTGACGGCTATTCCAGGCTGAATCCGCACCGTACAGAGGTGCTTTTCATAGCTCTCAGAAAACCGCATTGGAGAGAAGCTCATTTCAAAGGCGTATCAAAGGCCTTTCAAATCAAGGCATTTCAAATCGTAAGCGACAAAAATGATATTTAAAAACAACTTGCCTTTCTTTAAACGAGGCTTGCAAAAACTACTTATCGGAAAAAAATGCCTATTTCTGCTTTCATTCTGCTGTCATTGCTGACACCCACAAGCGACGGTAACCACTCGCCATTAGGTGGGTCATAAGCTCGTCTGCCTACAAGAGCCATAAAATATGAATGTAGGAGTTCTGTTTTGAACGTACGAAGGAACTTTTCGGAGGTGGCGGGCGGTGCGATGGTAAAAAGGAGATAATGGGTCTATCTGTAACATCTTCTCATTATTGCCCTTCGAATATACGGATCCATAGGTTCCAAACGAACGTAATATTAGAAGAACATAAATCATTACATACGGACTGGTATTAAAGTAGATCTGATATTTCCTCTCCATCAAAACAACAAGTGGTTACTTTGACAAAGAAATAAATACGATCGCGGTATTATGCAGGTGCACACTTCCACGCTCTGGCTATTAGTATGCAAATTTGTAATTCTGCGACCTAAGTTTTAATTACGCGGTCTTATTCATTCATCGCGGAAGACGATCGTTAACTGAATTTTTTTCGCTTCCATCAATACTCATAATATTAACAACGATGAGAATGCAAGCTTAAGATATTTATTAAATGCCTCGGTGACTATAGATTACCGGAAAGCGGGTTCAGTGACGTTAATTGAGCAAGAACTGTGTCCAGAAGGACACGAGTGGGCAGTAAACGATTAAAATATCAAATGCTATAAAACAGTGGATTGATTTTAATATGTTCCTTGGTTTTTATGATTTGAATTTGAGCTAAATCACATGATCCATCGCAACAGTATTCGGTCGTTCTTGGTCCGTGCTCAATAATGCCCGTTTTTTGTTGAAATGAAATTCACTGCCATAGTATTTGTTGTGTTGAAATGTACATTCATTAGCATTACGAAAGAAGCGCCAACCTTAAATATTTTGGCGATTCTTCTCAATTATGAACTACACTCTGGATCGGCGGAAATGTCATGTTTTTTTTTATTGCTTAGGTGGGTGGACGAGTTCACAGCCCACCTGGTGTTAAGTAGTTACTGGAGCCCATAGACATCTACAACGTAAATGTGCCACTCATCTTGAGATATAAGTTCTAAGGTCTCAAGTATAGTTACAACGTTTGCCCCGCCCTTCGAGCCGAAACGCATTACTGCTTCACAGCAGTAATAGGTGGGGCGGTGGTACCTACCTGTGCGGACACACAAGATGTCCTACCACTAGTAAAACAAGTGAGCGTTGTAAAGAGCCTATAAATGTAAACTCGAATAAAACACTGATTTTAACTGATTTCGTCCAATTGTTTTAAAATTTCGCGACTACCTACAATGCACATATTGTTATTCAACGAGTTCTCACCACGATTGAATCTGTGATCAAGGCGCCTACAATAGCGTCCAAATTTCGGGGACTCATTAAATATTAAAATGGTAGTAAGAACCCGATAAATAGTGGTGTGTTTGGTTTGGTTCACTTAATACAAGAGTATAGATTGTCCTAACTATTAGCATTGTACATATATATGAATCTGGACTACAGTTATTGTTACCTACGACTTTTACGTTGTTCTTGTTAGGTAACAGACCATAAAAGTCTATTATAGTCGAAATTCACAATCCTTCATCTCTTGAATAGTCACACACGTGGTTTAGTATAACTGCCCTATCTATGTCTAATGAAAAACAGATATTTCTTCTTGTTTGAAATGAACGTTAATTGTTATTCCCAGGTAATCGTGATTGCAACTTCATATATCAAAATTGGCGCGGGAATTCTTGTAGTGGCGGTTTCTCGGTAACGGTGGTAGCTGAATATCAGATGAGCCTAATCTAGTCTATCAACTTACGACTTAGTCAATATTTAATTTTGAATAAAGAATATAAACGAACGAAATTCAACAGCTTTCAGCGAAGAGCTTTAAACTTTGTTATTGACGAATCCATCTCGTATTTGCGTATCTTGGCATTTAAATCGAAATTACACTTTGAAAGTTGCAAGCGCTGGATAGGTTCGTATCCATCAGTTAATGCTGTTAATAGTCACGATCGATCATTCGCTGTTTCCGACCGGATAATTAGTTGCACAGAACATCGTACTTCGTAATCAACGTTCTATTTCAAAAGCTAATGCACCTGACAGGGTTTATATTGCGATTAAAACCGAGGGTGTAGGTATGTAGCGTCTGACAAGCTTTTAATTCATAAGCAAAGGGTAAAAATTTATGTAGTTTGTAACGTTAGTATAAAATACAGAACTAGTTTCATTTGTATAATGGTAATTTAAATTTTTTAATTGAATCCTGGAGGGCTTTTTCATTCGAATCGTTTTTTTTTTCAAATTTTAATCCCGATAGGTTCTGACCCTTCTAGCTATCTTTTTTTGTTTTATTATTGAAGTTGAGTCCTGTCGCGTGCTTTTTGATGTATGGTCATTGTCGCTTATGCTCATTAGCAATATCAATGACAAAACCAAGTTAATAGGCGCTGACGACTTTCCTCGAATCTCATTTGCGCGAGGACTTACTCTAGTCCTCAGAAAATACTGTCGGATAATGCTTGAGATAAATTATTTCTAGGATCGTGTTGTAGTTTCATGTAGTATAAATAAAGTCTACTTCAAACACAGCACGGAGTGTGATGGTAAAAATGCGATTTTGGCCCCCAAACAAGTTTCTCAGAACTCCCCATGTAACCAATTCAGTATTGTAAATCGTGGGAAAAAAATAATTCGTTCTTGCACGAAGCAATACCTTAAACATACGGTCGGATAATGCAACTTGGATTGGAATCTGCTTCTTTCACATTTGGTCGGTCAAAATGCCATAAATTCCACGTTGTCACCACGAGTGTTGCAGCAGAGGTGTGGTATCTGTCATGTTCCACCACTTTAATACTCGGCATACTTATTGGCAATTTAATCGGTAAAAAGAGGTTGATTCACGACGTTTACGTCCATTAGGCAGGACGTTACAGTGCGATCATGTTAATAATGAACGTGGTGAAGTGATTAACATAATTTAAATTGTCTAATAATATTTTAGGCGAGACTTTTTGGTCTAAAAACTTCATCCGACTTAAGATCCCTTGCAGTCATATTATGTAAACCTCTTTAATTGCAAATACGATCACGAAGTTGCCCCTTTCTTCAAATAAATTCTAAATCTATACATAAATTGACAAAGCTATTTTTGTTAAACGATTTTCTATTTATTTAGTAGCTATTCTTGGATCAGCTTTAGTGTCATCTATAAAAATATTGGAAAATAATCTAAATCATGAGTTGCCCTGTGGTTTATAGTTGAAATTCGGGCGAATAATATATTAGATGAAATTAAAGTTCACTCAAAACTTTTCGCAGGAAGAGGACTCGAGTCACGAGAGCTGATCGACACGTTCGGAGATGGTAAAGAAAGATTTTTTTAAATGTGTTTAGCGGAAATTTTTCGTATTCCTTTCATTGTTCAACGGGTTGAAGTTTTTGTTTTGGTCCGACAGTAATTAGGGCTTGTGAGATATGTTCGATTGTGTTGAGTTCGGAATGATTTATTAAGTGTGCGTTCATTTAGAGTGCTGCTCAATTTTTTTTTATGTACTCGCTCGGTTACGCTGGCGTAGCCTTTTAAGGCTATCAGCTTAGGTAGAAAAAAAACTATTTACTGGCTTTTTTTATGATTGAAAGATTACTGGTGACCCGAAGGCCTTTCCGGTTTCACCAGGACAGGTGGGCGAGCAAATGCTCAGCCAGGAGGGGTGGGATTTGCTAACAACTGCCCAAGCGCCTCCGATGGAGACCTAACAACTCAAGAGCAATTGCTTCGCGAAAGAATCTACTACCGGATCGGAATCGCGACCCGCTGAGAAGATCCGGCGAGAAACTCAGCGGGCTGATGCATGGGTTAGGTTGCATGCCGACCTCTTTGTGGAGTTCGACGAGTACGGTTACCGGGGTTGCAATGCAAAGGTTATTTGATCTGATGAATCCGTAAGGACGTGTCTAGGGCGTCGACGGTGACTTGTTCCTGCATGATCAGGATTCGGGGAGTAGTCAGCGGCGGCAACGATAAGACGATTATCATGACGCATAGCCTTAACGAAGTACCGTTCCGACGCTGACTTCATGTATTTCCGGATTGCTATTTACTGACTATTTCCCGTTTAGATGTATGGACAGAAAATAGCTATGATCGCCATGATAATATTGACGTTTAGCAATTGGGAATGTTCACAATGTCGTTATAAAAAATGGAGTGTTCGATCTTATGATTAAAAGTGTTTGACGACGTTGTGTTGTGTAACCTATGAGCTCCTATAACCTCTTAATACCAGACGGGTTTGTGAGAGTGTTCTTCTCCGCACAGACTCGACTTCTTCGAACCTGAGGACGTGATAGGAATCTTTCTCGAATAAGCTCCCATAAATATTTTCTATCCCTTGCGATGTGAACCGCCACAGTGTGTTCCACAGTCTATCCCATCCAGCAACTCTGCATTGTCTGTGCATCCAGAGTTTCATAAACTTTTATCAGACATCTGCATATTCAATACAAAAATATTCTCGAATCACTCTGATGAAATTTCTCAATCGTGTGTTCAAAATAAAAAGACTTCTTCACAAACAAACGCTTCTCAGTGTTGATGCGTCCTGTTTGTTCGTTTATCTGCTTAATGAACGAACGGCTTCACACGTCACGGGCATTAACTTTTACAGACACCCAAGTATATTTACGTCACAAGCAGTCTCAATTTACATTTCACTAAGATTGAAAATCCAATACATGTTTGTTTCGTTAAAGTTGTGGAAATAATTCATCTATTTGCAGTTATGTTTTAAGTCTATTCACTGGTCAAACAAAGAGGTTACGGAATGCTGTACTCGACATAATAATATGCTGAACTTGCCTATTTCGTAATCCCATTTTCTGATTATTGTGCTAAAGTTCCTCTAGATATACATATATTATATGTATTATAGATCATATGTACGTAGTTTCTGTTATTATTGTTTATTTTGCAATTTGACAGGCGCGAAGAAAAAATGCAGTGAATTATTATACAATTCGCGATTTCTCAATCAATTAACTGTTATTTTATTTAAGTCATCAAAAAATATGTTTATATTTCATTTAAATTAATATTTATCGTGATAATCTAATAAATGAAGTGTAAAAGTTTTTAATTTTGCGACTAAAGACACCGATTGTTTTGAATCGTGGGTGATGATGAAGAATGTGTATTTTCTTCGGAATTTGCGAGTTGTAGATAAAAATAAAATTACTTTTACGGTTTAATTTTATGTTTTTTAATGTCGTTATGTTAATACTGACGTCTCGAATATTTTAAAATTTTCGAGGCCAAGGACGCCTGAGCTTAAAGTAGTAACTTGACGTAGTTTTAATTAAGATTGTATTAATATTATATGAAATTATTGCATTTATTGCTATTGCATCTGAGAATATACTTTAAACAAATTTCAACCACGTCGTTGTTTAAGTATTTGTTACTAAGGTAAATGTTACTGACGGAAAAAAATAAAATTTAACGGATAAAAAATATCAGGTACCTGAATAAAGAAAACATGACGAAAATGAGTCACGAAATAAAATTGGATCTATGGACTTTGTTTGGCCGTTTATTTAAGGGTGCGAGAGCTAATGGTGTGCGAATGTTTATGAAAGAATGTGTGTAGGTATGTGACGTGTGCGTTCGAAAGGGAAAAGACCAATTAACCAAATTGTCTGCTAGCTTAACTCGATCCCTGTCACAGTTTAAAAATTAAAAGAAAAAAATATACTACTGTCTCGCTGACAGTTGTTAAAGGGGGAATGGATATGAAGAATCTGCATAGGGTATTCGACGATCTTCACTTTTTCTTCTGTTGAAAATTAATCATGTGTTCCCGGTTTTTTTCTTTGACAGGTGGCTGAGCGAGCTCATACCCTCAGACGCAGCCCACTGAGTTTCTCGCCGGATCTTCTCAGTGGGTCGCGTTTCAGATCCGGTGGTAGATTCTGCGAAGCGCGGCTCTCGCTAGGTTTCGTGTTAGCAAAGTCGTCAGGTTTGAGCCCCGTGAGCTCACCTACTAGTTAAAGTTACGCTGAAATAACCTCTAAAGGCTCTCAGCTTAGGTAGGAAAAAAAAGAGCTCATAGATATCCTAGTGTGAAGTAGTTACCGCAACCCATAGACATAGATAGTAACGTGAACGCCGCTTCCTTGGACAAGGCCGTCACTCGTACATTTAAAATTAATATCCATATTTCCATTTCGGTGACAGTAAACGGATTAAGAGTTCCGCGTATCTGTAACATAGAGGCTTTACCCTGTCGGTATATTTTGGGGTATTTATAATTGGTCAATTGACGTAGGTCTGACGGTTCAGCCCTTCTCCCGGCTGATTGCAGTGGCCGGTTGTCTTTTTGTGCAATTACCATTGTTTGGAGAGACCGGTAATTATTCGAATAACCGTAATTAGTTTTTAATGTACGCTCGCTCGGCGTCTAGTAACTCGATTTATTAGATGGACGTATGGAATAACTCGATTAATTGCTTCAAAGTTTGTTAATATTTTATATCTTCATAAATTTGGACAGTCGTTACATGAAGCTAATTTTTGAAGGTTCTTTCTTCATATTTGTATAAGCATATGTGGTTGCTTAAGATTTTTCTAGCAGGATTTTGTTTTGGCAAAGCAAGACCATGGTTCGAAAGAGCGATTAATTATTTCTTAAAATATTCATAATGCTTCCTGTTAAATGTTGTGCCTTTCATACGTTTTTTATTAGGGTGGTAGGATTACTGGTGGCTGGTAGGTCTTCCCGGTTTCACCGAGAGAGGTAGGCCAGTATGGGTTCAGCCAGGAGAGGTATACTTTTCACGTTACTACATTTTAGTATTAAGCTCGTATACATATATAGTATCGTATGTAGTATTATGTGTGTGGTAAACACTTGCTAAATGGCTGAATATCCCAGATAAGGCAAAGGACCATAGCCGTCACCCCCCTTGAGATATGAGTAGTGATACCTATCCGTGCGGACTCACAAGGGTCCTACCACCAGTAATTACGCAAATTATAATTTTTCGGGTTTCATTTTTATTACACGATGTTATTTCTTCACCGTGGAAGGAATCGTAAACATTTCTTGAGTGCGTATTCGTATTAAGTACTTTTCATTAGAAAAATTGGTACCTGCCAGCAGGATTCGAACACTGATGCATCGCTACATAGGAATGCACCGGACGTCTTATCCTTCAGGCCACGACGACTTCAAGGCTAATGTTAGCACAGTCTCCAGGCTGAGCCCCGTGAGCTCGCCTATAATTGTAAGAAAAAGGATTCGAACCCGCGACCCCCTTGTGTAGTGACCATGTCACTTACCACTACACCAGACGGTTGTAAAAAAAAAAGAATATATTTGTAGAAGATAGAGAAGATATTTGTATGAAAAAAAAAATCGGTTGTCTGTAAAGTCGGTTTACTGACGATGAACGTGACAACATCATAAGAATATACTGATGGAATGTTTTTATTTTTCAATTATCGCAATTACCGTTGCTATAAACAATTGACACCACATTTACTTTTCACTGAACTTCATACTTGACGAAAACATGTAAATGTATTATTGTATAGCAGCTGTCCACGCGGATGCATCGTTCACTCAAGTAGGAGAGAGACAGATGTCGAACGCTGCCGAACGCGGAGGCCGATTGTGCCTCTATGTCGCTCGTTGCGCGCTCTCGCTTGCACTTCAAGCCTTAAATTGAACGCCTCAGATCGAGGTAACGCCGCATGAGTCATGTTTTTTCGTGCGTGCAGCCGGCTCCATTGAATTATAAGACGTTGTCACGTCAAAAACTTAAAAAAAAACCAGTCAAGTCACACTTCGTACAGATTAGAGGAAGTGATGATTTTTAAAATATGATTAACAAGAAGTGGATGTTTAAAGTCGAAGAACAGGTTTAAAGCGCGCAATGTAGATGTTACTGATAATCATGAAGGAATGAGGGCTCTTGAGATCAATAAAATAAACAAAATATTATTTCCTTTTTTGTATAAATTTATTTAAATATTATGTCCAGGTACGGTTAATTTATCTGACGAGAATCTGAATAGGATAAGTAATAATGTAAGATTTTATTACGAATAAACCACGGCAAAGTTTCCATCGCATCAAGGAACTCAGAAAGGGTGCTCAAAATTAAATCAAAATAACTTTTGTTATTTAACTAGAAAAAATATTCTAACATATATTTAAATTGGTAAAAATGGGACAGTTGCGTACTTTGTTTGTGAGCAGATTTCCTCTATTTTGTTTTAGTAACCATTGACGGGTTTTAATATTTTCATTATTGTTTTGGAGATAGTCAAAGTCTTGAGACTCATTAATAGAATAAAACAGAAA